AACTGTGAATGCAACACGTTAATGAATTAATTTACAATGGGCAACCCAGGGAGTAGGTAGCATAATGATAATGTTACTGGACTAGTGATCCAGAGGCCAATATCTAATATGCTGGTGACATGGGTTTGACCCCATCACAGTGGATAATGACAGCTGAATTCATTGGAATAGATTAATAGCTGATTTAATGGTAACCATGTGACCATTGTGAATTGTTGTAAAAGAAACCCCATCTAGTTCTTTAAGGAAGAAATTTGCAGTTCTTACTTGCTCTGGCCTACATGTAATGTAATTGACTCTTAATTTGAAACAGACTAGCAAGTAACTTCTTAGTTATATATAGCTGCTACAAAGCCTAAGAAAAATGAACTCAGACACACCACCTGGCTTGGCGTTGGAAATAACAACTGCATCCCAGCCCCATCGACCCTGTGAAGAAGTCCTTACTATATTTTGGTTCATGTCACAATTGGGTAATCTGTTGGACAGACTAGGTTTAGCGACAATCTAACATAGCCATATGCACAGAATCACATTTTTACAGATACAACCATCACTATCCTTGTCTCACTACCAAGGGGCAGCAGGGTGGCACAGTGGTTAGCACTGTTGCCTCACAGTGTCAGGCAACCAGGTTCAACTCCAGCCTTGGGTGACAATCTGTGTGGAGTTTGCACATTCTCCATCTCAGTGTGGGTTTCCTCTCAGAGTCCAAAGATGTGCAGGCTGGGTGGAATAGCCATGGGAAATGCAGTGTTACAGCGAGAGAGTAGTGGGGCAGGTCTGTGTGGATTATTCTTCAGAGGGTTGGTGTGGACTTGATTGGCCAAATGGCCTGCTTCCACACTGTTGGGATTCTATAAATAGTACAGATCCACCAGTGGTGTACTGTATTAGGGAAACAGTTGCCTTCACCATTGACTCTGGACCGTATGAAGTCTAAAGGCACCAGGTCAAATACAGGCATGAAAACCTTCCTCCGATTATCACCTAAGCCCAGCTCACCTTACCCTTTTGGTTGATGAATCAATCCTCCATGTCGATCAGGAGTTGGAAGAAGCACTGACAATGGCAAGGTCACAGAATGTAATTGGGGTGAGAGACTTCAATGCCAGAGTGCCTTGGTACCACTATTACTGACCGAGATGTCCAAGTTTTGAAGAACATAGTCACTCGACTAGATCTGTGGCAGGTGGTGAAGCAAAACAAGAGAGAAAATCCTAACTGACCTCATCTTTACTAATCTACACATTACAGATTTATCTATCTACAATAACAACAACATACATCTACAATGACCACTGCACAGTTCTTGTGCAGACAAAATCTCATCTTCACATTGAGGATGCCTTTCATTGTGTTGTGTGGAACTAATGCAGTGTTAAATGGAATAGAAATAGGTCTAGAATTCAACATGGGGCATCCACAAGTTTCTGTGGGCCATCAGCAACAGCAGAATTGTATTCAATCACAATCTATAACCTCATGGCCTGGCATATCCCCATTCTATCCTTACCACTCAACCAAGGATCCAACCTTGGTTCAATGAAGAGTGTAGGTGGGAATGCCTAGAACTGAACTATTATGCCTAAAAATGTGGTGTCAACCTGCTGAAGCTGCAAAACAGTGGAAGCAGCATGCAACAGACATTGGTAAGCAATCCCACAACCAAAAGATCCCTGCAGCAAGCTTTGCAGCACTGCTGCATCTAATCATGAATGGTGATAGAAAATTAAACATCTAACAGGAGGAAGCAGCTCCACAATGGCCCCATTCTCAATAATAGGGGATCCCAGCACAATAGTGCAAAAGATGTAGCTGAAGTATTTGCATCCATCATGAGCCAAATGTGCTGAGTGGATGATTCATCTCAGCCACCTATTGTGATCTCCAGCATACAAATGTCAGTTTTCAGCTAATTTAATTTATTCCACATGATATCAAGAAATGGCTAAAGGCAGTGGATACTGAAAAGATTATGGGCCATGTCCACATTCCAGCAACAGTATATAAGACTTACAACAGCAACATTGGCATAAAACTGACAATGTAAAAAGTTGCCCTGATGTTCCCAGTACACAAAAAGCAGGATAAATTCAATCTGACAACTTGCTGTCCTATTGATCTACTCTAAATCATCAAACTGGTGGGAAGAATCATTGATAGTGTTACCAAGTGGTACTTGATCAGCAAAATTCATACATTCAGGGCCACTCAGATCTTGACCTTATTTGGGCCAAGACTATAACTTGACCAAACCAATTGAATGCCAGAGATGAGGTGACAATGAATGGCCTTGAACCATGGTAACATTTGACAAGAGTATGGCATCAAGGAGCCCTAGCAAAACTGAATTGAATAGGAATCAGGGGAAAGCTTCTCCAATAGTTGAGTCATACCTGGCACAAAGGAAGATAAAGTCAGAAGTCACACGACACCAGGTTATCGTCCAACAGATTTATTTGAAATCATGAGCTTTTGGAGCACAGCCCCTTCATCTGGTGAAGTGAGAGAGAAGAACCAAATTTATAGGCAGAGAGATCAAAAGTTCATACAACTGATGTGAGTGGAGCATTGAGTAATAAGTTTCTGCAGGTGACCAAGAGTCAGAAGTCACACGACACCAGGTGATAGTCCAACAGGTTTCAGGATTATCCACATCATGGTGACCAAGAGTGTTAGACAATGTGAGCAAAGTGTCAACAACTGAATAACAATTGAAGGGATGACCTATAATCTGATTACTCATTTAGCCTGTCTCCAGCATCACCTTATTTTTAGTTTCTTGTAATTATTTCTCTGCCTCACTTAATCAGATTATAGGTCCTTCACTTGTTATTCAGCTGTTGACACTTTACTCACACCTGCAACGATCTATTATTCCATAGTCCACTCACACCAGTTGCATGATCTTTTGATCTCTCTACCTATAAATTCTGTGTCTGGTTCTTCTCGCTCACTTGACCTGATGAAGGTGCTGTGCTCTGAAAGCTTGAGATTTCAAATAAACCTGTTGGACTATAACCTGGTGTTGTGTGACATCTGACTTTGTCCAGCCCAGTCCAACACCAGCACCTCCACAACAAAGGAAGATGGTTGTGGTTTCTGGAGTTCAATCATAGTCCCAGAGCAGGCTCCTCACGGGAGTATCCTAGGCCCAATTTTCTTTATATGTTTCATCAATGACTTTCCCTCCAACATATGGTCAAAGTGAGGATATTTATCGATGATAGTAAAATATTCTGCACCATTCACAACTCCTCACACATGCAGTGTGTGTCCATATGCAGCCAGAGCTGGACAACATCCATGCTTGGAGTGATAAGTGGCAAGTAACATTCACTGCACACCATTGTCAGGCAATGATAATCTCTTTTTAAAAAAATCTAACCATGATCCCTTGACATTCATTGGCATTACCATTGAAACATCCCCACTATCAACTGGGTGTTAGCATTGATCAGAAACAGGAACATAAATACTGTGGTTTCAAGAGCAGGACAAGAACGAGGAATTCTATTGTGAGTAACTGATCTCGTCTCCCCAAAGCAGTCAAGATGCTCAACACCTCCAGGACAAAACAGGCCACTTGACTGGCATCTCATTCATCATCCTTCAACACCGAAGCATAGTGACAACAGCATGTACCATCTACAAGATGTACAGCAGCAACTTACCCAAACTCCTTTATCAGTACCTTTCTAAACTGTGGGTGGCTCTATTGCACAGAAGGACAAGGGCAGCAGATGTGTGGGAACAGACCACCTGCAAGTTACTCTCCAAGCCACACATCATTCGAATTTGGATTTATAATGCTATTCCTTCAATATCATTGGACCAAAATCTCAAAACTGCCTTCTTGACAACAACAGGTCAAGACAGCAGCTCATCACCACCTGCTGAAGAAAAATTAGAGATTGGCAATAAATGCTGGTCTAGCCAGTGAAGCCTACAGCATTTTACTGAGCACTTAGCAATCACAATGAAAAGCGTCCCTTTAAATTGCAGTATCCTGCATGTAAGGCATCTCCAACCAAACATAATTAGTTTGCAAGAAAACTGAACCAGTCAAAACTAAACTGTGGCCATACATTCTTTGCCCAGCAAGTCACTACTTAACTGATCAGAATTGCATCCCTCTCCACCCATGATATCAAGTGCTATTGCCTAAAACTAACTTTTTCAGATGTTGCTTTCACTTGCATCACATAGCCCACCAAATCACATAGTTAACAAAGAAAGCAGCTGAATCACAACACCAATACTCTGTAGAGGTTAGAAGTTGGAGTCTTGTGGCACAGCAGTAGTGTTCCTACTCCCAAACGCTATGTGTCATAACACCTCTGAACAGGTTGATTTGAAAATACCTAGCAATTAGATGCTTTGGTCTCAATTGCACTGATCAGGCATTACGTTCACACAATCATAGTATTCTCACATGCGGAAGCAAGCCATTCAACATATCGAGTCCACACCGACCCTCCGGAGAACATCCCACCGTGCCGCCCTATGTTCAATAACAATTAATTAGAGTTCAGGCCCCCTTGCTCCAAACCCACCATTCAACAGTCCTTTCCAAACTTTTTAACCCCGGAATTATCTCTCGTTTTTTTTCCTCCTCTTCAATTCCCTTGTCTCGCATTTCTGATTTTTCCATGCCCTTTCCTTTATTATTATTGCTCTCTCCTCTCCCCATTGATGTTGCTGGTCATATTCTGCCTGACCTACAGAATGTTCCTAGCACTTCTGTTTTGGTTTTAACTCAGACCCAGCATTCACAACGTTTGGCTCATTATTTGCTCAGTGAGCAGCGACAGGAATGTGTGCGCACGCAGGCTGGCAGTGGGGCGAAGAGACTGCCGGTACCGCGCAGCCGCACGCAGACTAGGTTGGCGGGGGTGGAGGGAAGGCAGCCGGTAACGCGCAGCCGCACACAGTCTTTCACGGGAAGGGAGTGAGACTGCCGGTACCGCGCAGCCGCATACGAAAGGGAATGAGGAATCGTGATGGGGGTGTGTGCAGGAAGAGAGAAGCCGGTACCGCGCAGCCACAGAGGAAAGGTGTGGGGGAGGGAAAGTCCCTAGTACCGCGCAGCCGTGGAGAAAGGTGGGAATGGGATGAACAAGAAGCAGTTGCTATTGCGCAGCTGCAGCAGACCCACGGAGGGGACGGTGAAATGAGCAAGCAACAGTCGCTATTGCGCAGCCGCAGTGGCTTGGTGCAGGTGTTCCAGCGGAGAGGTAAACGGCGAAAACAGGTGGAGGAAAGTTGAGCTGGGTTGGGTCGAAAGATACGGCGTCTGAGGTGACTGAAGAAGGAGGGAAGGTGGAGAATAAAAATCCATCGAGACATCGACAGTGGACTTTTTCTTGTCGGTTTGAGGTGAAAGCTTATTGTTTGGCAGGTGTCAGGTGAGAAAATGGTTGTGACGTTAAATGAAACCTTATATTTTTACCTGAGGAGACCTGGGCAGTATCTCCCGGGGCCCTGTAAGTGCAACTCTCTCTCCCTTTTCCCCCATCCAGGACACTCCGCAAGACCAACGGTTTTAACGGCTCGACGTTCCATTATTTCCAACTTGAGTTCATTAAAGGGGAAGTGGCGGTTTCTGATTTTCTTTTGTGACTGGACCGAGTTGCCGGCCGCCGGCAGTTGGACCTTGTTGATTCACCCCTTTAAGGAGAAGGAAGGCTTTGCCTCCGAGCCCTCCCGGCCTTGTTGCAGCGGTGAAACCCGCACTGCTGCATGTCTCTGCTGCGGATGGAGTCCCGTCTATAATCGTGCATCAGGTTGGGCGATCGTTTTGTTTTTAAATGTATAAAATCCCGACACTTGTAGTTCTCAGGGGCTGTTCTCTGCACCCGCAATTTGATGATATTAGACATTGATGAGATAAGAGAATGCAGTTAATCCTGCAACGGATTTGCCGTTAATCGCGAAAGAGAATTCTGGGGTTTTGCGAATCTTATCGTACACTGAGTTACTTGAGTGATTTAAGCATCGTTTTCTTTATTGTATATATTTTATAACTAAAGCGAATTCCGCTTACTTCTCTGTAAAAACAGAAACCAGCTGCGGTAATTTTATATGCAGTTACCGTTCTTCTGTTAGTGAGAAATTAGTGTAACATGAACAGTTATGTAGTTATTTTGTGCAGCTGACAAGACACATTTGACTTTAGGTGTCTGGATCATCTACAACTTGTTCGTTGCCGAATTGTTCGGGTGATCAGATCGAAAATTGCAGTTCTGAGTTCGCTCCCATACGGTGCAGTTGTAGTTTATTACGTGTCCTTGTATGCCTCGAGGAATCCCTGGTGGTGAGCTTTATAACATTATTTGCTGACAAACCATCTGGCTTTCTGAATCTACTCAGAATCGTCATCATCCTTTATCACAATATTCCTGTTTATTGCCATTTTTAAACTTGTGATGAGTGTTTTAGAATAAGAAGTGTGTAATCGGATTTTCATCTGTTGACGATAATGAAAAGAAAGCTTTAGTGATGTATATGCACATTGAATAGTGGGAAAGCCTTTTTTTGTATGCAATAGGTATGTCTATACATAGTATATATTATTTCCAAAATTTTATCTAATATGTTTCAGATTAGTGTGGAAATTATCTGGAAGGTTAGGTTGGTAAAATGGTATTTTGGTTTATTCCGGTGGTGGCAATAGCAGTGATGAGGTTATCACAATTTCAAAGTCAGCTATTTCACGTTTAAAACTGAGTAGAGGAGAAATTTATTCTGTGGGTCATTTTGCTGTCTTTGTAGGGGGGATTCTTAAAACAGGTTGCGTAATTGAATATTTTCAATGCTGAATTAGATGAACGTTTGACATGTTAGGAGAGTGTAAAATTCTGGGGGCAGGCAGAAAATTGGAGTTGAAGCTATGATCAGATCAACTGTGATCTTACGTTCCATTCAATTCAAACCGTGGCATTAAAATTGTGCTGCCTGGTTCTAGAAAACATTCTCTCAGGATCTGCCCCATAAAGCAAAAAAAAATGTTTTAGTAGGGTATACTCTTACTCTTCTGAATACCAATTGGTATATCTTGCTAAACATTTTCTCTTGACAATTCCTTCGTACCATGAAGCAGCATAGTAAAGCTTTTCTGAGCTGATTTCAATGCAAGTACAAAACTAAGACCAAAACTGTACAGAATAATCCAAGAGTCTTGCTAATGTACAGTTATAGTAAGATTTCCTGATTTTTTTTTTGTTTTACACTGCAGCCTCCATTATTAGTAATAAAGGTAAACATTCCATTTGCCTTCCTACTGGGAAATGTATAACGCTACTACCTTTCCAGCTGTAAGATATATATGTGATTGACTTGGAAATTTAAATAATATATTTGTTCTTCAGTGTAGTACTTTAAAAATATTTTAAAAATCTCAAATTATTCAAAATTGTCTTCATCCCATCTTGGAACAGCTGGTGTGAAACATGGTTAAAATCTTACCAAGTCTGTCACTGTTTTACAAACAAATGTCTGAAAAGGGGCAGCTGCAACTTTGGGGAAAAATACAACTTCTCCCTTTTCATACAATTTTAATCGATTGTCTTTTGAATTATGTTGGCAGTGTATCTTATTCTACTAACTACTTTTTGGTTAATAATTTGATTACTATAGCATATGTAATTGTATATTAACGTTTTATATTCTTTGATCCCTGCTCCAAACTGTTTCCAAGCCATTGACTCAACCCCTTGCTGTTTGATGTTGAACCAGAACCTTGGTATCAGTGTAATATTTGTATTATCAGCAGGCCTTTGTTACCGTTAGACTTAACTATTACAGTGTTCTCCTGATCAATCTCCCATCTTTCATTTTATGTCTAAAACATGAGCTTACCTGAAATTTTGCACCTGGTCTTCTATTTCGATTTCAACATTCTTGTCAGTTTTCAAAGTCTTCCACTTGTCCTTCCACTTCCCTTGTCCCTTTCCTTTACTGTCATGTCTCTGAATTACTCTAGTTTTTTCTTTTTGACATCTTTGATTGCTGCACTATTGACTTCCTTAGCCCAATGCTCTGGTATTTAGTTCCTGTGCACTCCATTCTTCTGTCTCTTCATCTTTAAAACATTCCTTTTAAAACTGATATCCTTGACCAAACATTTCTTCATCTGCCCTCTATTAGCTCCTTGTGGCTCAATGTCAAATTGTTTCATAAAGCTAGTTTGCAGCTGTGCTTTTTGAGGTTTGATCATTAAATATGCTAAATAAGTGCAAGTTGTTTTGATAAAACTGAAACCAGAAAGAGACAGAATCTAAATTACGTCTTGCTGCTGGTATTGGAATTGCTGTTGTATATTGTCATTGTCTTCACCCAGTCCCTTTTAATGAACAGCTGACAACTAAAAATTGCCAGCACTGTAGCATTCCTAACTTGCAGTATGGTAGTTTTACTGGGTTAGCTTCAGTTGCCTATTCCTAGCTATTTGCCGTTTGAACATGCTTATCAGCTAGTGATTGTCTTGATCATCATGTATCTCGCTGGACTTAGAGATGGGCGGAAGGAGATAGGATTGATGTCCCACTTAGTAACTAATTCAAAAGTACCCCCATGAGTTATTATATCTGTATAGGTTCCTAGAGTTTGCATCTACATATATAACAATCTCAGGTTACCTGCTCTTTATCAATGTTACTTGACCTGCTGTCTTTTTGCAACCATTTTTATTATTTTCTTCTATTTTTTAAATTGCATATTTATAATGGAAAATTTTATATGCTTGTCATGCCACAGTCTGACTGCCACTAGCGTGTAGTTGTAACCGTTGACTTAAAAGAAGTGTTCATCGGCAGTTACCGATTCAAGTGTGGAGACACAATTTATAATGGAATTGCAAACATATATGACCAGAAAAGATGTCAATTGAAATAGGAACTGAAATGCATGAGACTGGTCTCCAAAGCACCCACTTTCCAGTTGTTTTACCCAAAGATTCCTTGCTCTTGACTACGTGCATTCCACCATGGAGAGACTGATTTCAAATATTTTGAGAACTTAAGTACTTTAAGTGGGGCTTAACCCCCTTGTGTGATATTTATTTTTTAACATGGAGCAATTCACTTCCAATGTATTTTATGTTAATAGTTACTTAGTCCCATTGATACCTATTTTAAATATTAACAGCTTCTTGTATTTTTTTTTCTAATTACCCTATCTCCCTTAAACTATAAGAATTCATTGTGGGAAATGATTTACTGGACAGTGACAGTCTACAGCTGAAAAATACTGATCGTGGGAGTGTGAAAGTGTTACTCAGAACTGATTATCTGGAGGTTTTTATGATTTCATTTTAAAAGTGCTGTTTCATTTCTTTTGTACCTACTTTGTACATTATTCTTTTGAGGAGGTAACAAGCAAGATGGGAAAAGTAGAATGTGTAGATGTAATGTATTTGGATTTCCAAAAGGTTTTTGACTATTTAAAAGCCCGTGGTGTTGAGGTTTGTATATTAGCATGGGTAGAGGACTGGCTAACTAATAGAAGACAGTTGGGATGGAGAGGGCATTTTCATGATGGCAACCTGTGGAGTGCCAGAGAGATCAGTGCTGGGAAGGCCAGTTATTTATAGTATACATTACAGACTTAGATAACAGAGGTGAATGTATTATTGTCAAGTTTGTGGATGACAAAAAAATAGGAGGGAAGGCAAGTAGTGAGGAAGACAGAGTCTACAGAGGAATTCATTGAGTAGCATAGAATCCCTATAGTGTGGAAACAGGCCCTTCGACTCAAGTCCACGCCGACCCTCGGAGCATCCCACCCATCCCCCTAATCTACACATCCCTGAACGCTATGGGCAATTTAGCATGGCCAATCCACCTAGACTGCACATCTTTGGACTGTGGGAGGAAACCGGAGCACCCGGAGGAAACCCACGCAGACAATGGGAGAACGTGCAAACTCCACACAGACAGTCGCCCAACGGTGGAATCGAACCTGGGCCCCTGGTACTGAGAGGCAGCAGTGCTAACCACTGAACTGCCGTGCCGCCTTGTAGGCAGGTTGTGGGCAAAATCTTGGCAGATAGAATATATCCGGGAAAATGAGGTTATGTAACTTGGCTGAAAGTATAGAGGAGCTATATTCCGGGTAACTTGTGTATGAATCTCAAAAAAACAGCACCCAAGTTCAAATAATGAAAAAGGCAAATGGACTGACCTTTTATGTAACAAGGAATGGAGTATTAAAAATTTGAGGACTTGCTTAAATTATGCAAGGCACCTGACACAGCGCATCTATACTACAACTTCTTTTGGTCCCCTTACCTAAGGATATTTTCTAATCAACCTGTTTAGCTATTAGGAGAGACTGGGTAGTTTGGACTTGTACTCATAAGAGTTCAGAAGGATGAGAGGAGGTGACTTATTGAAACATAAGATTATTAGGGGGCTTGACAGAGTAGATGCAGAGAAGTTGTTTTTTCTTTTTTGGAAAGTCTAGGGCATGATCATTTAAGATATTGATTAGGAGAAATTTTTCTTTATGGAAAGTAGTCTTTGGAATTTTTTTACAGCAGTGGTCTGTTGAGGCTGGATCATTACGTAGATTCAAGATTAAGGCAGATTTTTAATTGATAATGAAATGAAGTTTTATGGGGAAAGACTGGAAAGTGGATTTGTGGATTATCAGATCAACTGTGACCTCATTGGCATTGCAGACTAGATGGACCAAATGGCCTACTTCCACTCCTATGACTTATGGTCCTGAAAGTTACTCAAAGCAGCTTTTATCCTGTTAGTTGTTGCAATTGGAAAGTTTTTTTTTAATGAATGTACAGAGACTACTTTTTTAAAATACACACTTCTTCCTGAAATATTGTAATATTGAGATCATAGAATCACAGAATAATAGAATCCTTACAGTGTTGAAGCAGACTATTTGGCCCATTAAGACTACATTACCCTCTGAAGAGCATCTCACCCAGACCATCCCCCTCCTCCACCCCACCCCACCCTTTTCTTATAACCCTGCATTTCATATAGCTAATCCAGCTAGCCTACATGTCCTTGGATGGTGGGAGGAAACTGGAGCACCTGGAGGAAACCCACGCAGACATGGGGAGAATGTGCACGCTCCACACAGACAGTTGCCCAAGGCTGAAATTGAACCCTGGCAGGGTGTTTTCCATCTTAAAAAGACTACATGCATTTGTAAATAAAATGGTTTCTTTTACATTCTAAACTTGCAGTTGGTAATTGAGAGTTATGCCAATGCTTTGTACTGAACTGTAAATAATTTATTTTCTATTCTTTGTGCTTTTAAATAAATAAAGATAGCACAGAAACCTGTGTGACAGCT